TATGCATGTATAAGTCATGATATGATATGACTGATTTATATAACAGTTGGTTATAGATTCGATAATTTTCATTTTCTTATTAGCCACAATATAAATTTGAGATATGTTTTCATTATATTTAACGGTGAAAAACTGTCAGTCACATTGTGACAGTCTCACCAAATAATTTTTCTAATAAAGTAACAATCATGTATATTGACGTATCATTGTTTCCAACACGTCTGCATTCAAACCTTTTCTCAATAACTTCTCTGGTATGTTATTCTCTCCGAATTTATTAGATTATAAAATGCTCTAAGCACGAAAGAAACCAAAACTTAAAGCGATTAGAACTACGTGTATCATTAGATTTTAAAAAAATTAAGTTCCAAAAATACCCTTTCTAACTTTTAAAATTATTTAAAAAATATCAAGTTTTTAAAAGTTAAAAAAAGTTAAAAAAATACCCTTTAAAAATACTCAAATAATAATAATAATAAAAAATAAATAAATAAATGTAATATTAAAAAATTTGGAGATTTTGATCCTAAATAGACCATTTTCTTTGTAATAACAACTTTTTTTTAATATTTTTTAAAATAAATTTTGAAGAGGTTAATACTACTTTTAAAATGTTTGAATTTTTTTAAAAAACATGATAATAACGGTAATAATATTTATTATTATTATTTTTAAATTGGAAGGTATAATAAAAAAATTTAAAATTGAAACCTATTTTTGAAACATAGTTAAAAAGTTAAATAATATTTTTAAAATAAAAAAACTGACATGTATTTTTCCGACACGAATATTATTAAAACTTTTAAAAATTTATAAATATTTTTAAAATAAAATACAAAATTTAGATATAGTTTTATTAATTTAGCCTAAATGTCACCGAAAAAAGCTTAATAATAGTTGTGTAGGACGGTTTTTATTGTATTATTATTTGGTAGCAACCAACAAATTATTGGTAATATAATGTCTGAGAACAAGGGATAAAAAAACGCTAAAGACATAAATCTATGCATTTAGGTCCTTAATTGAAATTAGAGTCAAACTCAATTATTAAATATACAACCCTATAATAATATTATTATTAGTTAATTAATTACAAAAATTGGAATAAAAATAAACCCAAATTTAAAGCCAATAAGGTCTTGGGATTTTCCCTTCCAACATTAATGTAACAATTAAAAAAAAAAATCATATCCACCGCCGCTGCCGCTGCCGCCGCCGCCACCCGCCGCCGGTAGCCGTGGCCTTCACGAGCCCTCCATTTCAGCCACTTCTCTCGCCCTATATTTATATTTAATTATTCCTCAGATTTAGGGATTCTCTTAGTGTAAATAAAGCGAGAGATAGGTGAGTCGTACACGCAATAGTGAATAAATTATTCATTTAATAATTGTAAAATATGGATTCTAATTCATAAATGTATTCATTTAATAAATTTATTTACTCTCCTTTTGATGTAAATAAATGAGGGGAAAATATATTTTTGGAGTTTTTTTTTAATCCTTTAATTTTAATTTTAAAGTGCGTATTCGAGCACGTGTCCTACTTAATATGGGAATTGAGGTAGAGTTCGGTTAATTGTTCTGGTGTGATATATGAACTGAGATGAATACAAATGAATTGAGACCAGATATATAAATTTTGAATAAATATATATATTTTTTATTTTTTAAAAAAATTAAGAAATTTTGGAAAATATATAAATATTTTTCAACATTATATATATATATATATATATATATATATATATATATATATATATATATATATATATTCGTTTTCAAATGCAACGCCATAAAGTCTGCTTCTTCTTCTTCGGCCGGTAACGGCAACACTTCCTCTGCAACTCTCTACTCCTTTCACCTACATCAATGGCGTTCAATTCCACTTCACTCTCTGATTTCACTCAGAGCATTTTCTCCTACAACAGCAACGTAATTCTCGCCGCTCTCATTTCTCTTCTCCTCGTCGTCCTCTTTGTCCTTCTCCTCCATGCCTACGCCAATTGTTTCTTCCCTCGGCCTCGCCACCGCCATGCTCAGCGGAGTTCCGTCACCGTCTCCTACGTCCTTGGACCGCCTCGCCTCTCGCGTTTCGATTCGATTCCGTTCGATTTAGGCTTTGCTCAGTCCAAAGGCCTTGACTCGTCTGTAATTTCTACGATTCCTCTGTTCGTTTATGAATCGGAGGAGAAGAAGTGTGCAACGGTGATGGAGTGCGTGATTTGTCTCAGTGAATTTGAGGAACGAGAAATCGGACGACGGTTGCCGATATGTAACCATGGATTTCACCTTGACTGTATCGATATGTGGTTGAATTCTCACGCGAATTGTCCTGTTTGTAGAGCGCCGGTAGTTGCAGAGGCGGTGGAATCTAGCCGGTTGAGCGGCGAGAGGGAAATCGGAGAAGAGATTGTAACGGAGGAGCGGACTAATTGTGAGATTCAGAGAAACGAGGAGCAAAACGGTCAGTTTCATTCTTCTTCTTCCTCTTCAAATTCTTCGACTGATCCGCCATTGATGTCGCTTGGAGCATCTTTGAAGCGAATGTTGAGTAGAAACAGATCGAATGGAAGGATTTTCCCCTCTTCCAATGGCGATGAATTAAATGTTTGAATAAGGAAGGAAGCATTGGATCCGCCATTTGCACAGATTTTTTGCTTCACTTTTTACATACATTTCATTAAATTAAACTTCTCTGCTAGGTCAGTAATAGTAAATCCATCGTTCTTCGTGAAATCATCATTTTAATTCGTTTTCCCCAAAAAAAAAACAAGAAGTTTTGGAAGGACAATTAGTTAATTCCCTTTCTTTAATTTACGAACTTTCGTCTTTTCTGGAGACGATTTCGAGATTAATATTAAATTTTAAAATCTTATATCTTTTATATTTTTATTTGGAATCAAAATATTTTAATCAATATAATTAAGTTAAATTTTCAGTGTTTTATTATGTATTTTAGTTTTCATTTAGTCCCTAGTTTTTAAGATTTTATGCACTTACCCTTAAATTTTAATTTTAACAAATGCTTATTGTTGGAAATTTTTGTTAATATTCAATCAATTAATTCTTTTACATTAATTATAACTAAATTAATTAATTGTCACTAGTTTTTATCCCTAATAAAATTAATTATAGAATTCTCCCCTTTAAGAACTAAATGAAAATTAAGTATAAAATTTTAAGGTGAGAATCTAAAAAAGGAACATTTTGAAATTTAGTGACTACAAAAAACTCTACTCGATTAATGATCAAAGATGTTTATGAACATAAAAATCCAAATGTTCGTATTGTTACAACTAAATTATTGTAGCATACTAAAATTCATAGATGAAGTTGTTGAGGATGTTAAGGAGTGAGTCCCACATCAGCTTATTTAGGGAAGATCATAGGTTTATAAGTAAAGAAATACATCTCCATTGATATGAAGACTTTTGAAGAAGTCCAAAGCAAAGTCATGAGAGATTTATACTCAAAAGTGAAAAATATCATATCATTGTAGAGATCCGTCGTTGCTACAATGAAGTGCGAGATAATGTAATGTAAAAGGTTATAATGTGAAAAACAACACAAATATTGAGAATGAAAATGAAGCAAAGAAATATAAAGTGCGAGATACAATAATTGGCTACAATGTGAAAGGTTTTAATTAATGAAGAGAGAAAAAAAGTGCACTAAAAAATTAAAACAAAAAGCTCCATGTTTTGTGGTCAATGTTTCCTGATTCTTGCAGTGTCGTTTTTAGAGCAGGCAGGCAGAGTCAATAACGACTCTGTGAGCTAATATTATAATTTTTCAATAAATTGTGATTTAAAATTAAGAAAAAAATATTAGTAATTATGAGATGTAAAAAAAAATAATAATAATATCTGAAAAGTTTCTAATATGGTTCGGTTCTTATTCTAATTCTATCCATTTCTTATCAACATGTTTGGTCTCCAAATATCAAATATGATTTCTAAATCGTTTCTAAAATGCGACATAGTGATTTCACCATAGTAGTCTAAATGCACACAAACTAACCTAACCGCTCGTGAATAAAAAAAAAAATGATTACAGACGGCTGAATAAAGTACCTAGTAATTCCTATTTTCAAGTCCTACTTATCTGTATTATTTTGAGGCTAAACAACACGTTTAATCCTTGGGTTTCGAGGTTTGTGTTTATGTAGTTCTTAAACTTTAAAAAGTGAATAACAAGTCCATAAACGCCTCAAAGATATCTAAACATTGAAAAATGTCTAATAAGTTTTTAACCGGACGCAAAATTGACACACTGTATATAAACAAAAACAAAAAGTGAAAAAATATGAGAATCACCGCAGAAGATTCTCAAGATATGGGATGAAATACACACAAGGTGCTAATATATGCGATGGTAGTAGGATTAAAATGAACCCAAATGGATCAGACCCGTCACCAAACTTACCTTGTTACAGACTCTGAAGTTTGATTTGTTTCTTCTCGTATCGTTAACCTGACAATGCCACTCACCAGTACTTCACCAAAGCTTGCTGCAATTATATATATAAAGAATCATGTAACACAAACAATAAATTAATAATACTCCTCCCACCTCTTAAGGCAAGAGGTTCAAGTATTTGTACCCATTTGTTGTACTTCAAAAAAAGAAAAATTCTACAACGAAAGAACTGGCATCATCAATTCTTCCAAGGCCTTTCTAGCCGTAACTCAATCTATCAACTAATAAACAAAAGAAATATAATTTACTTCATCAAAGAAAATACGATATAAAAAATCATATATATATTCTAGAAACGAAATCCTGCTTGTACTCGGTCATTAGTTCTGAAATCAACAAGGAAATAGTTTTGGTGATGAATGAAAGCATACCTAAAGCTTGAATTGCTTTGTTTGTATACCGGCACGCTCCAATGACCTCCGAGCTACCTTTAACATCCTCAACTTTCAAATGGTAACCATGTAGTGAAAAGGAAAACATTAACACGAACGTGATATAAGCTTTAAAACCCCTCTCTTTTAGAACCCAAAAATTGAAACTAATTTGGCCATTTGACTGAATATAATCTATAAATAGTTTCCTAAAAAGGTAGAAGATTATTTACACAACTTTATGACTAGAGACAAAATTTCTTACACTTCCAGCGGGTGAAGAACTTAAATAATATTACGTTCCTTTGTCATCCATAAACATAACAGCAAACTCCTCATCATTTTTACCCAACATATCCTCTAGATTGCATTCTATATTCCTCTCCTTTAACATCCGGAACCTTGGAGTTATCTTCTTTTCCAACGAATAGCTAAAATACCTTGGATACTCAACCACTTCCTTTATTGGCTTCTCCATGACGTTTACAAGGAAATCTAGTTTGGGTTTCAATACTTCCTCTATACTATACCCCAGTAGAGGAGAGAATCTACCAACCATGAAGGCAATATCCCTCTTTGAGAGCCCTCTCTGCCTCAGGTACCTTATACTGCAAATATTGTGATCATTATTAAAATTTAGGCCAGCACATCATACAACTGAATAATGAAGTGTAAAGATCCATGACAATTTTAACAATAACCAAAGTAAATTTAGATAAGACGTTTATATCTTCAATTTATAATCTTTCATAAATGATATACCTTTTTACCCCTTAGCATATACATGTTTAGAGACAAACTACATAGTGACACCTTTCTGTTGATGACTTTCTTATCTTGCCCCTCATTTCCAGATGGAATTTTATAATTGCTACTTCTTGTAAAAGAAAAACAATATATGATCTAATTTTATATTATTGATTTTTAATCTCTGATTGTAGCATTTAATCAAATTGTCAAATCCTTTTTCTGGGACTGTTTTAAGTACACTAAATATATTTGAGGGTGAAGTTGATATTTATCATCGTCAATTACAATTTTAACTTTTCAATTATATAGTTTTCATAAATTAATTTGAGAATCTTTTAATTTGATCATTGTGTATATGTTGTTGAATAAAATTAATCAACTTTAGTAGAAGATGCCTCATCCATGGAAGCTATGCACTCCAATTCAACCACATCAACACACACACACACACACATATATACATAGAAGTGAAGTCTCAGCATTACCGTGGGAATAAAGTTCTGTCAGGGTCAGAAACGAGAAGCTCGGGATATTTTCTAATTGCCCGAGGTAGCTGAGTCTTGGAAACACCAATACTGATTAGAAATTCAAGCTTCCTCCTTAGTGTTTTCTCAACACTAGTTGCAAATATCTCTGGACAACGAGCAAGTATCCTGCCAACAGTTTCTTTATCGAACCCTATCTCTTCCAAGTATGAAACGACCTGTATTTGCAAATTATAATTATAAATTTCAGAAGCTCCCGAGCAATTAAAAATAAAGAAAAATTACAAAAACCACTAGCATAGAAGTATTCATGAATCTATCATCTCTGATTGCAATACAGGAAACAACGACTCGTAAAGAATAGAAGTTACCAACCTGAAGAAATTCTTGAGGTCTCTGGAGTAATAACTGAGGACTTGTGGCAATCACCTGACCCAACTTCTTGCTTCGAACACCAAGCTCATCAAAGCTGTCCACCATCAATTCCAATCTACTAGCGGAGCTTCCTAAAATCAGTGGCCAACTCCTGATTGCATCAGTGATGCTTGCATTTGGTACCTGTCATGAAATATCATCTCGTAAACAAGAATTTCCATATATACAGGTGACATTCGTTAAATTAACACACACTTTCAACAGCCTTAAGGACGCCTAATACAAAACCATGCTAATTGGGGGGGGGGGGGGGAAACAACAAAATCATCATGTGTACTGTTAGCTAATATATGAAATAAAATTGATCTAGTATCTGTTTTTGTGGGATCATATTTAAAATAGTTTATATATTTTGATTTAAGAAGTAGAAACTTTGAAAGTAAAATTAATATGTTTCAACTTTCAACCATTTTAGATTCTAAATTTTAAAAAGTGAAAACATAGGATTACACGGGTTATGTCTCCCAACTTCAGACAAGTACCGGTCAGGGGCTAACTATCTGGTAAACTATAACTTAAAAAGAAGAAAAAAATGCCCTTGTTGTGGGCTGAAATCAATGTTTTAAATTAAAAGGCTTGAGAGAACCTTGAGGTATTTTCTCAAAATGAGGTGAGGCCTTGAAGCAATATGAGGCGTAAGCATCATTTTAAATAATAATAATTAAAAAATCATTAAAAAAAATGTAAAATACATATTTAAGTTGTTGCCAAATTCCAAACTAGAGTAACACATTTGACATTCACGATCTATCAAAATTCTTAAAATTTCTTAAAAATTATTATTCCTTTTGCCCACAGACCTACCATAAAATCTGGCCCCTACACAAAAGGGAAAATTATGAAGAACTTCCTCTACCATAGAGCTGCGAACTTTGTTCCTTGCCCAACCAATTGAATAACTAAAACAAACAAGCCCAAAAGACAGAACAGCTCCATACAACATGATTCAAGTCTTGGACTGTCCTCTTACAAACATGCACCAATGCAGACTCAGCACAGAGGACAAATGCCTCAAAAGACAACCCAAGGTGTTCACCCACCGAATCAAAATGAGCAAGGTTGATAGATTCCTTGTGACAGGAAGGCTGAGATTTCACCGAGTGAAAGAATACAAAAGGCCTACTAAAATACAGTTACACGGCAAGAAGAGGCCAACCAAAACTTAGACTACAAACAATTTACATCCAAACGTGCAAGTCCAAAAGAAGAACTACAAGAATCCTTGGTAAATGCCCAAAAGATGCAGTAACTCTAACACAGGACCTATCTAACATCAAACATTACATACAAGCGCTACAAGTTCCAACTAACATCATATATTCCACTAAGATTTTTCACGCAAATGTACCTCATCATATTCCCAAACAACTTCATCTCGGAGTTGAGTCCTAGGAGGCAAAAAAATGAAATCCTAGGGAGAGGAGATGGAGATAAAAGGCAAACAAGAAGGATATGGATGGACAGCACAAAAATGAAGGAAGACAAGATGGAGGGGATAGCTTAAACCACAAAGGCAAAGAGAAGAGGAAGACCAAAGAAATGCGAGTGCAACTATCAAGAGCCAACTGAACTAGGAGGTTGAAAACGTGTCTTTGAGACACCCTTGCTCATAGTGTTCTTCAAGAAAAAACTTGCGTAAGAAGACCCTTGTATTGTCATCAGATACATCCATTTGTACAAGGGAAGAGAGTTTATGGAGAAACAGGCGACCAGATTAGAGATAGAGGCCCATCTTGGATTACATGTCCAAGAAAGTACTTCAATAATCGAGGTCCCAAATTTTGAGCTGGGGATTGCAACTTTCTTTGATAGAAGAGATTTTCCAAATGAAGAGATAGAATAGTGGTAAAGTCTTTGAAAGGGTTCGTTACAAATCCAAAAATCATTCTGAAAGAGAGCTATGATTTCTCACAAATACTCCCATCCTGTTCGAGACCATAGGAACTTTGAAGTGACCAGCCAAGAAGCATGAGTGGTGGTTCAAAATTTAGCCACAGTAGCTTTTCTCCATTAAGCTTCTTTCTCAAAGTGGAATTTCCACTAATCCTCTCTCTCAAACTGGAATTTCCATGGCCGTTTTGCAAGACAAGAATGATTCCTTATCCTTAGATTTCAATGGCAACCACCCCAAACACAAGCGGAAACTAAATGTTGGCCCAATTTTTACCAGTGGTATCCACCTTTCACTTGAGTTCCTTCCCAAAGAAAAGTCTCCAAATAATGGAATCTCAAATGAAGCCTTCCCGAGGAAAGTTGCAGTTTGTCCCAATTACAATTTTACTTATTTTCACTCAACTTGCAAAAGATATACTAGTCAATTCTTAAATAAGCATATGAGAAGTCAAATGGTTAGCACATCAGCTGGAAGCTGCAATGAAATTCAAAATATTAACCAATGGCGCTCACGGGCATAGTTGTATATCAAATTCTTTTGAGAGAGGATTTTAAAACATGCAATTAATCTAATTAGTACAAACAAGATAGAATGACTAGACGGAAGGTGTACCTTCTCCAATTCAAAGAAAGAAACAATTTGTTTAAGGTTGCCTTGGATGCAATTGGACGTAATCCATGGATATTTAGGTAATAATTTACCAAATTCCATCTCTACTATGCCAACCTACAGGATAATTGAAGATCAGTGATGAGAGAATATCAACATAACATCATACTGTTCAGTTATCTCTTTTTCTTCAATATAAGAAACTATATTCATTGAAAAAATAGTGAAACTACAAAAAAGGAAGACACGAAGCTTCGAAGCGAAAGAAGACTACAATAAGCTGTTCCCAGTGGCACAAAGAGTAATTATGTTGCAATAGTTAAAAGGATTGTAAAATGCATTCCAAGTGCCACAAACGTAAGAGAATGAATAAAATGTTGGGATTAATTTTCTGCGTTTTTGAATTCTATTCTTCCTTCTAGGCCATAGTAACAGAAAGAAGGCTCTAACAAAATAAAATCAAAGAAATTTCTCTTTCTTTTGATCAATAATACCTTCTCAAAAGTCATTATCCTTGACTTGAGAACTTCAGTGCCGAAGAAAATTATGGGTGGAAATGACAGAAATATGCCTCTCATGCGCTCCTTAGGGATGCCAATGGCTTCAAGAAATTCCACCATTGGTTTCACATGGGATTGTATTGACAACAAAAGCATGCGGGGAAATGATTCAAGTAAAAGGCGGAAGGATTCTTCATTCGAACTCAACATGTCTAGGCCTCCACGCCTGGCTTCAATCTGTGATGATATTCACAAACATAGTTGTTTTTACAATGTATAAATCCAAAATTGAATGAAACAGAAACGAGCAAAAATAAGTTAACAGCTTGAAAATTGAAAAATGTTACAAGACCTTCTCGAAGAAGGATAAAGTTTGCTGCACATCATCATCGGGAGGAATTGATAAGTTCGTCATCATTCGGCGAGCACTTTTTCCTATGAGTTTTCCATCACCGCTGCCAGAAAAGAAGAGTTCCTTCATATATTTTACCTAAAGAGAGAATTTAAAAATAAACCAACGTCGACGAACTTATCAATCAGATACCAACTCGAGTAAAATAAGATCTCAGGCAGTTTGAATCCGTTTATTTGAAGAACAACTGGTATTAGTTCTAAAAGACTACTAAACAACAAATATAGTGTCCTACTACCTTGTAAATTAGAGATGGAAGCATCTCTCCAGAGAGGTAGCGAGCAACATTCATAGCTGAAGAAAGATTCATACCAGCGCTCTCCAAGAAAGCAACCTTTCCATTATCACCTTTTTCTCTGGCCATCAATTCCACCTTTTCCTTAAACCCAAAGCCATCACCTACCGGCCGTTCTCCTTCGCTACTCCAAGAAATCCACATGGACGTCTCGTCCAATTCACGAACTCCATCAACGAGCATCTTCAAGAACCGAGGAGAATTGGAAGCGATGGACACGGATTCCTCCTCGGAAACCCCTAATCGTTGAAGATACTCGGAAACAGCAAGTCGAGCTTCTTCCAAAGAATGGAGTGAGTCGTCTGGAGGGACATCGGAGGAGGGAAGAGCATCGGAGGAAAGGGAGGCGAGGGGAATGAAACGGGAAGAAGTGGAGGAGAAGTGAAAGTGGGAACGGAAGGGGCAGGAATCGAGAGAAAGGAGGGAGCGAGGTTGGGAAAGGGAGAAGCGATTGATTGGAATGGGAGTTGAGGATGCAAAGCTACGATGAATGGTTGGAATGGTTGGAATGGGGAAGACGACGGAAGCCATTGTTGAGGTTACTGAGAACTGGAAGCTGTGAGCCTGGCCGTCACTGCAGACATTGTTAAAATCTTGGTAAAACCCTGCAATGAAATGAGGCAACCAAGCCCACCGCCTACAGAAAAATATAGCTGATAATTGTCAATATAAATTTTATTTAAAAAAATTAAAATATCTTACCTAAGTAAATATATAATATAATATTTAATATACTATTCAACAGCCCTCAGTCCACCACTAGTAGATATATTTTTTTTTTTTTATGTTCCAAATTGTGGCCACGACTTTCTCCCCTATCACCTTAACCGCTAATGCAAGCATCTATCTAGTTCCATTTTATACCATGCCCTCCCGATCTTATCTGTTGATCGCTATCCATTTTCCTTGCATCCATCCCGGGAGCAGAGCTATACCAAAAAAGATTGAAAATTGATTTCAGTCTTCTATTTTCTCATACTCCTTGTTCTTCAACAACTTCAAGACAACAAAAGGGGACGTAGGGGAACAACATCCAAGCTATGACGACCCCAAGAACCTGCTTCTCAGCAACGATAGTTCCACTCCCAAACCTACTTTAAAAATGTTTAGGGAAAGTCCATTGTTGATAGTGGGCTTGGGCCATTACATATTTATTTAATAAATAAGTAAATAACGTCTCTTACCTCATTTAACAAATTAAAAGAAATCTCTTTTTGCATTATTCTAAATTAAAAATGAAAAAAAAAAAAAAACAAAAAGAGTAGTGTGACATCTTGAAGAAAGTAGCTGAACATAAATGAACTGATATTAGATTTGAATGAAAGCAATGCCGAGGATAGGATTATACTTATAAAAATTGAAAATTTATACTTATAACAACAAGGTGCACCTCTTTTTGGTAGCTCATCAGAGTTGTTTGAAACAATTTTATGTTGAATGACTTTCTATAAAAAATTTTAGAAACCATGTGAGTGATGACAAATCATACCGAAAAGACTTGTATTATAATATCAAGACTTGAGATATATTTAGGTGTTTGTTCGTTTACCGTGTTTCTATTTGATATGTCATTTCTTTCATCTTATTCTCGTAGCTTAGTTGGTTAGAGCATCCATTAAGTAAGCGGGAGGTTTTGAGTTCAACTCTCGAGAGCATTATTCTAACAGTCATGAGTGTGTAAACGTATTTAATATTTAATTAATGATAAAAATGAAAATCTAATTTTAAATTATAATATTAGTTTTTTTTTTTCAATTTCCAATTTATATTGAATACAAGATTATTTATAAAATAAAAAAAAAAAAAAAAAAAAAAAAAAAAAAACTACCAGCCGTGAGTCCATTTTGAAATTATTTCTATTGGGCTTGAAGCCCAATTCATACTTTCATTTCAATTTCAATTTCAATTTCAATTTCAATTTCTGCTGAATGCATTACAAATTTAAATTTGTGTAATAGATCTACAAATTAAAAAGTCTTATAATATTTCAAATCATAATTTTTTTTAATTAATTATTTTGTTCAAAATCAATATAGATTATTTATCAAACATGTCAAATACTACATAATAACTTTAAAATTTTCACATAATGGATAATGTTATATTAAAAAAAACCAAAATTATTATTAATTTATTAAATCTTAATCCTAAAGTATTAAAAGAACTCAAAAGAATATTAAAAAAAAAAAAAAAAAAAGACAAGATTAGAAGAGTTTGACGTTAAAGGACACAAAAAGTTGACATTGTTATTTATAAGTACGTAAGATATGTCGAGACGCACGATTCCAATACACGTGCACAATTATCCACAATTGACATATCGCACATAATGAATGGACGGTATTTAATATTAATATTTTTTAAAATTGGCATAACTCATACACATGGCTCCGATCTTCAAATTCACAATCCTCACTAATTTGTAGGGAAGTAGTGAAATGCCCGACAAAGATCTTGATGAAAGACAAGTCCTATGATTTTTGTTCAATATTGGATGGTCGAGATTAGTTGGACGTGACAAACAAACCAAAAAAAGAAGTGAAAAATAATAATTTGGATAAAATTTAAGGGCACTTAGCCTCTGAAATTGTAAAGTATGTCAAGGGTACCTTATCCCATCTCCTTTCACCCAATCCACATATAAATATAAATATATAAATAAATATTAATATTAATATTAATAAATAAATAATATTCCATATTTGCAGCTTTCCAAAATTACTTTATAAAATTCTAAGCCTTCTGTCCATTTAACTTAGTATAAGTGGCAGACACAATCTATGTATCATCCATTCAATATTTTCTTTATTATTATTATTATTATTATTATTATTATTATTATTATTATTATTATCATATATATTTTTTTCTATAATTATATTTTTTAATTTTTAATATTTTTAATATTTTTGGACCACAGACACACAGTGTTTTGTTCCTTAAAAAAACATAAAAACTTTGGTCTTTTCTTTTTTGCCTTAATTCCCTCAAATGACACCTAGCCCCTGATTTATTTATTTTTAATAAAGACCCACAATTATTGTCGGATACTCCTTATATTATTATTTTTAAATTAAATTAAATGACTCGGGCCTTCTATTTAAAAATTATTGTACATTAATTCTTACACGTGTGTATATTTTTTTTAAAAAAAATATATAAATAATTTAAATGAAACTGATATAATTATAAATTTGCACACGTATAATGAATAAAATTATTAGCTGGGATATAAATTAAGTTTTTTTAAAAATAATAATTGAAAAAATAAGAATAATATATTATTCAAATAATTAATTATATAAACTGTGGATCTAAATATATATCTAATAAATATTGCCTCTTTATAGATTAGATTCAAATCCTATTTATGTATTTTATGATGTGATATTATTATTATTATTATTATTTTAAAATATTTTCAAGTTCATTATTTTTCGTACAGCAAAGATAATTTTAATTATTCTATAATTTTTCCTTTAAAAAATTATCTTATTAGAATCGAACAAATATATATATATATATAGATATAGATATAATAATCCATTTAAAAGTCAAATTAATTAATTATTAATTTAAATTCCTTTTCAAATTTGGAACTTTTTAAGATTATTTTGTTTTGGATCATTCTATTTTAGTTCTTAAGTTTTAAAATGACCATTTTAGCCTCCAATTTTTTATAATGTTTAAATTTCTTTAAATACTAATTATTTTAGTATTATTTTGCATACTCACAATTGTGTTATTACTTTGTTATAATTAAGGGCAATAATAATTTTTTTTAATAATAATTTAGGGATTAAAATAGAGATTTACAAAGTTTAGAGGCTAAATGGAACAAATATGAGAATTTAGGGATCAAAATGAAATTAATTATTTTTTTTCATGCAACAAATGTCGGGATGAAAATCTAAACCTCAAGGGAAGTACAAGATATGGACGACTGTTAACACCTCTAATTTTCTTGTCTCAATCAGAGACGTCAATACATACTGAAATTTAGATAAAACGTTTCAAACGAAGCCATGAACTTGTACGTTTAGTTTAAATCAAGAAATAAAAACAACATAATCTTTAAGTACGAAAATGAAAAACCACCTACGAAACTATTAACTAAAAACAATGCATATTACTGTCTTATTTTAACTTCCATAGTCATTCCAGCATTCACCGTCATTCGTGTAGGGATGCTTTACCTATACCTGAAATATAAAAGTAGTGAGATCCCACATCGATTGGAGAGGAGAATGAAACGTTTCGTATGAGGGTGTGGAAACCTTTCTCTAACAGATACGTTTTAAAACTGTAAAGTTGACGACGATACGTAACGGGCAGAAATTAATGATATCTACTAGCGATGAGTTAGGGGCGTTCGTATCGGGAGACGGGATTAAAGAAAAGCATAAAAGGGGGAGATGGTGGCATCCACGGAAGGTTTGGGATAGGAATTAGACAACACATCAAATGATTATGAAAGTGATCTCTCAAATTAAAATTGGTCCAAACAAAATCATAAGACCTTTGTTTGGTACCAGAGAGAAAGATCCTTTATTTATTTATTTATTTATTTATTTATTTATTTATTTAATTGTATTTGCTATGAAGCCCTTCACAAATGTGGGATTTGTAAATGGGCCCCAAACAACCAACTCATTCCAAAAACAATTCTAAGTGCGTTCTCCAAAAACCATAAACTCTTCCCATCGCATAAGGGACACACCATAATGCATGCAATGAATTTTTTTTTCCTAACACAATTTCTTTTTTATTTTACTTTTTTTTTAAAAATATTTTTCTTTACTTTCCATGTTTAATCTCTAAAATTTGAATTTCGAACTCTAATTGGTCTGTCCTTTTTCGTTGGGAAGAAAAAGTCATGAATAACATGTCGTTTAGTATTATTCTGATAGGGAAGAAAGAAAGAGGAAGATGAATCTCTCGATGCTTTTTCATGGTGGATGTAGAGTTTAGGGTTTAGGGCTTAGGATTTACCGACTAATTTAGAATTTAAAGTTTAGGGTTTATGGAATGATTTAGGGTTTATGGAGTAATTTAGGGTTTAGAGTTTATGGAATAATTTAGAGTTTAGGGTTTAGGATTTAGGATTTATGGACTAATTTAGAGTTTAAGGTTTAGGCATACGGATTGATTTAGGGTTTAGGGTTTAAGGTTTATGGACTAATTTAGGGTTTAGGGTTTATGGACTAATTTAGGGTTTAAGGTTTATAGACTAATTTAGGGTTTACCGACTAATTTAGGGTTTAGGGTTTAGGATTTATGGACTAATTTAGAGATTAAGGTTTAGGGTTTACGGACTAATTTAGGGTTTAGAGTTTTTGGACTAATTTAGGGTTTAGGTTTATGGTTACAAACTAATTTAGTGTTGAGAAATCAAATTGAAATCTCGAGAGTTGAGAATGTCACATTTGAAACCTCCTAAAAACTGCCGATGACAAAAAAAAGGGTTAGTTGTGAGACTCATAGACTAAATAAAAGCTAAGTTCAATTTTCGGGGACTAGACGCGTATACTTTCCTTTTCTTTTGTAAAGAGAAAGTCACGAATAAGGTAATCTTNTAGTATTATTTTGATAGGGAAGGAAGGAAGAGGAAAATGAATCTCTCGACACTTTTTGGTGGTGGAGATAGACTTGAGTCATCGAACCGACTCGTGGGGATCGAGAGAGAGAGAGACTCTTTTCCACGTGTAGAGTTTGTAATTGGTGAATAGGGCGCGATATTGGGGTTCGTGCCTCTTTCCAAGTAATTATGAAAAGATTGATGAATGGAGTTTGTGGAACTTGAAAAAAAAAAAAAAAAAAAAAAATTGGTTCACTGGAAAGTGATCGATGTTAGATTTCCACTGGTCCAGTGTGAGATTTTTAATTTTTAATTTTTTATTTTAAAAGGCTTAAACTATTAATTTTTATTTATTTTTTAAAAAAAATGAAGAAATAAAATATTTTGGCCGACAATTGGAAAAAGAAAAAAGAAAAAAGAAAAAAAAAAGTGGAAAAAGTTGGGAAAAGGATTGATTGTGATGGGTTAGTGAGTGGCTGCTTCTTAAGTGTGTCTTTTTTATTATTTATTTATTTTATTTTATTTATATTTATTTAAAGTGAAATGATTAATTTTAAATTCATTAATTCAGTGATATACCTTTCTTATTTTAGTGTTTGTTACTATAGTTTTATTTATTTTTATTTTTATTTTTAGGATAATGTACCAATCATACATATTTGATATGCAAGCCGCACTCAAATAACTTTTTAATTTTCGCTATTAAAATAATACACATAGAGTTGGTTGTTGTACCAGAATTATAATTATTTAAAATTTTAATAATTTTAGCTCTTTACGTATTTCACTTATGGTTCAAGCTCTTCTGAAAGGGGCTTTCTTCGCCCTCCACCTAAGCTACTCAGGAAAGGTCCAAAGTCAATCCTAGAGAACAGTGAAGTTTCATAGGGTCTTTCTGTCTAGGTCACAAACATGTCTATTTCACCGAGCCTCTCTCCAAGACAGTGCCCAGATCGTTACGCATTTCGTGTGGGTTGGAACTTACACGACAAAGAATTTCACTACCTTAAACGTATTCTTAAATTCGATAAAGAATTTTCATTTTTAAAATTTAGAGAGAGACAGAGTATGTTAAATATAATCATTTGATTTCATCCTTGACAAGTGGAGGCGTATTTTTGTATCAGTTGAGCTATATTCATGTTGACACTATTATAATAGAATACATTTTTGTCATTTAATATAGTTTTAATGATGACGTGTGTATAAATATATATGTGGGATCAGAAAGATAATTTGTTATCCTAGGGAAGATTTAGTTGGATTAGAGTTTATCCTAAAAACATGTCATTATCGGAAGGAGTCAACTTAGAAAGATAAATTTGAGGGACAAAGGTCATAATAAGAATGAGACTTTGATAAAGAAGTCTTAAGGGTTTAAGTAACATTTTGTCAACCACTTGGGGTAAAAGAGGTAATTAAGCCTTAAGAGCTTAACCTTTTGTTACACACTTACCTAAATTCAATGTGGAAATTTTCATTTTGTGCCCAAAATAATTAACATCTATTAATAAAATATTATATAATAACGACCTAAATCCAAATCTAATTTTGATGCATAAAAAAAAATCGGATGTCACGGTCATGCTTGTCCAAAGCATGTTACTTATGGCCGCCTAGTCTTGCTTGTTCGAGTTTGTTGACAGGGACATCAACCAATTGGGGGAGGATGTTACGGTCATGCTTGTTCAAGGTGCGTTGCCTATAGTTGCCTATAGTTGCATGCCCATTCCAAACCCCTTTTTTCATGCTTTCATCTTAGATAGGCATTTACCATTTCATATCGAGTCAATACGGGGGTGTATAACCGTTCACCAAAATCACGTCTACACCCGAGTGAACAAAAATTTCCCAAAATGTACTAGATATGATTAGTTATCAACTTCTCCCTACCCGATAGTTATATGCTGTAAGCCGTTGTTGTTGCTTTTTGCTTACATTCTTATATAACACAAATTTCAATTTCTCAAATCTTGCTTTCAAAATTCTCTTTCGAAATCTTTCTGCTCCCATTTTCTAAAACTTTTTTCTTGAACTAGGGCCAGAGACTCGAGCATATGTCGCTTGGCCGTCCAAGAACGAATAGGCTTAACTCACTTGTTGCTGAGAAGTGAGTGCCGCACAATCGCAAGTCCGCTGCTATTAAAATGCGTTGTCAAAACCCGACCATTTTTTTAAAAAATAAATCGAACTTTTAACTTCTTAGTCAAGTGTATATGTCTTAACCAGTTGAGTCGTGTTTAGATTGACATGAACTCGATCATTTTCTTAAAAATTGAATAAAACCAACTAACTTATGTGTGGATAAGAGTAGATATCAAACGATAAAACGAAAGGATAGGCCAAAGCAGATCTTATTGTAAATGATCCAACCAAAGAGGTACACAAATTATTTAGATAAATTACAACTCATCAGTTGACTTTGAGGAATAATGGTAAGGCAGCTATAGGTTCATAGTAAGAATGAGACAATTCAATATATCTTTTTGCTCCAACCAATATATAACATTTTCTTAGCATCCATGAGAGATTTTTAGAACAAAAATTATTAGCCCTACCAATCTTATAAAATCTAAGTACATAAATCGAATTCGAATTAAAAAATATACCGAAAAGTCTAAAAAATATAAAGAACTGGGTTGTCATAATAATACTCTAAAATTTTTTATTTGAGCAAAATTAGATTGATACAAAATCATCCCAACTCGAACTTACGAGTTAATTATTTGTAATAATCCTTATAGTTCGAGAGAGTTACCCGTATAAAGAACAAGGTTGAATCATCACAACTCAAAGGTACGGGTTAATTATTTGTAATAATTTTTGTGGTTCGAAAGAACAGGGTTGTCACAATTTAATTCGAACAAAGTTTCACCGATACAAAATCATCCGAACTTGAACTTACGGGTTACCCATATAATTTAAGTGAAATTTTTGGATTTTTGTTGATATGATACGATGTTAATGGAGATCCACATATGAAAATGAATATAAATAATGGGGTTTGATGTTTGATTAGAACATAATGGATTCTATGAGACTTGTTTGTCACATGCGCTTTAAGATGAAAAGATATGTGCACGCTCTAAAAGCCCTACAAAGAGGATTATATATTGTATCGACATTTACCACAAAATTATATATATATATATAACAAGAAAGAAAGCTATGGGCATGGGGGGTTTTAGTGGGCTTCACTTTCATTTTCGAATCTAATTTTATTGTGTATAAAAGGAGGGAGAAAGAGGAAGAGAGAGGACCACCTAATGCCTCACACCCATGTTCATACATACAAACAAATGGAAGAAAGGGACTTCTCCCTTCATTCATAAATCTCTCAATTATAAACTACTTAAATTCTAAATCTAGTTCTTCCCCTCTCTTTAATCCAAGAGATTCAATATTATATAAATAAAACACTCGTTGAGGTGTGAAAATGACTTGATAACCTGAAGAACTAGATCAATCTAACCCATTAGTTCGATTGATTCATGGGTTTTTCAAAATATATACTAAAATTGAGTTGCAAACCCATAATGACCTCAACAACCCGGATCATTAGCTAATAATAAGAGTAGTTTGAGATAACCTGCATGTAGATAAAAAAGACAATATACTTTTAAGAAAAAATGGAGTAAAAAACATCTAAAATGATATTTACCTAATTAACAAAAGGGGTGTTTAATTAAAGAAATGAAATAATATAATCCTCAAGCACTATGGTTTATACAAAAATGATGCACTAAAATTTTAGGCCAAGATGGGGAGAGATATTAATTGATTTTTCCTTTTTTTTCCTTTTTTCCAAGCCGGCAAGTGGCGACAAACGAGGGACCGATCCAAAACACCATCGCCAAAAGCCTCTTTTCATATATATATATATATATAATTTAAAAAGAACATTCTTTTAAACCCATGATTAGATTCTTATAACTAGTTTACATTACATCCACACGAGAGAGAATAGAAGGATTTTAATCAAAATTAATATCCGTACGACACAAAATTTAAAAAAAAAAAGGGTTAAAATTTATAAACCAATGAATAAGAGGCACATACCTGAACATATTCTTATGGGCGTGCTCCATGGCGTGAGGCTGAGGTTATCCTAACGTTGTAATAATGTAAATTATAATTAACATCAAAAAATGGCAAAACTTATAACACATAAACCACACAATATATCTCTGTCTGAAAACCATAAAAGAAAAAAAAAAAGAAAATAATAAAGATCCCAGAAATGGAACCCCACCAAATTTGGGTATAAAAGGCCAATCATCAGACTCAAAAATTTCCAAGCCCCTCAAAAGAGAAAGCTAAGAAGCTACCTGTGCTTAGCAGTATGGCTTTTAAAGGCTTGATTTGAACTAGCAGTGTATTTATATATACATATATATATATAAGAGCTAGAGATAGAGAGAAGCAGTGATATTTATCTGTGTTTTTCTGTTTGTTTCCCACGAAAAGAGAAGTGAAGTGGGGGGGTGGAGAATTCTCTCTCTTTTTTGTTTATACATAGAAAAATGAGATACGAAGAGGAGATTTTGATAATAAGAAGCTATGATGGGCAATCTGCAGATAGAGCTAGAGTGGAAGATCTAGAGAGAAGATGCGAGGTAGGGCCATCTGAACGAGTTTTTCTCTTCACAGACACAATGGGTGACCCCATTTGTAGGATCAGAAACAGTCCCTTGTACAAGATGCTGGTATTTCCCTCCCGCCACTCTCCCGCCCCCCCCCCCCCCCCCCCCCCCCATCTATCTCTTCTTATTCTTTTAAATATATCGTAACCTATCAACTTAAGATTTTGGGATTGTTTACTCCAGGTGGCGGAAGTAGACAACCAGTTGGTTGGTGTGATTCAAGGCTCGATAAAGGTAGTTACGGTTCACCAAGCACCGAAAGATCGAGCTAAGGTTGGCTATGTTTTAGGCCTTCGAGTTGCGCCATCGTTTCGACGCCGAGGGATTGGCTACAACCTTGTTCGACGGCTTGAGGAGTGGTTTGTCGCCAATGATGTGGACTATGCTTACATGGCGACGGAGAAAGACAATGAAGCCTCTGTGAAGCTATTCATCAATAAGCTTGGATATACCAACTTTAGAGTTCCAGCTATATTGGTGAACCCGGTAAAACATTACCGACCATATCACCTCCCTTCTAACATACAAATTTCTAGCCTAAAAGTCGATGTCGCCGAGTTTCTCTATCGGAAATTCATGGCGTCTACTGAGTTCTTCCCCCACGACATCGATCATGTGCTTAAACACAAGCTTAGTCTTGGCTCGTGGGTTGCTTACTATAAAGATGACGACTCCACCACTCCCAAATTCGAAACTAATGGTGGCAAATCAGAAATGGTAATACCAAAATGTTGGGCAATGCTAAGTGTATGGAATAGTGGAGAGGTGAGTATTAAGCTACAACTCAAGACTAAAGCTTTTTAAGTTGATAGGTTACAGTAGTATGCTTAATCTTTTTCATTAATTTTGTTGACAAGGTATTCAAGCTCCGGCTTGGAAAGGCACCATTGTCATGCTTGATATACACGGAGAGCTCAAAGGTGATAGACAAGATCTTCCCATGTCTAAAGCTACCATCGATTCCGGATTTCTACGAGCCATTTGGATTCTACTTCATGTACGGAGTTCATCGGGAGGGGAAGGGGATGGGGACGAGGAAGCTAGTGAAGGCACTATGCCAGTACGTGCACAACATGGCTGCAGCAGCCAGGGACTGTAAAGTGATAGTAACAGAGATTGGAGGAGAAGACTCGCTGAGAGACGAGATTCCACATTGGAAGCTACTGTCATGCCCGGAGGATTTATGGTGCATAAAGGCATTGAAGAAAGAAGCAAGAAATAGCCTACATGAATTGACAAAAACCCCACCAACTACAAGACCAGCCCTTTTTGTAGACCCAAGAGAGGTATGAAGATCAAAGTCATATCAATATTAATAAATCCCAAACTTAATAACTTAATCACAAACTAAACACAAAATCCAACATAAGTTATAAACTCTCACCTTTCATGTACATATCACCTTGTATACACTCCCAATAATAGTGGGCTGATTTTTGTTTTTGTCCCTAATAAAAACTATTACTCACCTATTTTTGTATTCTTAATAGTTTCAAATCATAAAAATCCATTTTGGTCCCTTTCCATCTAACCATTCTCAAACACAAACACAAGTGCCTCATGATGTTAGGTAAAATTTTTGTTGAATGTACTGTATTATAGGGACCAAGTAGACTTTTATGCAACATTCCAAAAATCATAAAACAACCCACATTTGAATTCGAAAGGACGTATACTAGTGGAAACAACTAGGCTATACACAAACAAGCAAATAGGGATCACACTCAAGAATTCGCGATCCATATTCGCACAACCTACTCAAAAGAATTCATGAAATATCAATAGAGTTGAGACAGAATAATTGGCTTGAAAAGTGAAAAATGTAATTGGGGAGGGGGGGTATGAGGGGTTTGCTTTAAACCCCACCTCATGTGTAACTGTAGTTTAGACGACATCCAGAAAATCCATGTCGAGTAGAGTGGTGGGAGCTTTTATATGTTGTAACTTTCACAACGGTGACAAAAAATCTTGAAAGATTTCCCTAATTAGGAGCCACCTTCCCAGTGTCCTCTGCAACTCTAAATAATAATACCACCCTCTCTCTCTTTCTCTATCTTTTTTCTGGGACTACTCAATCATAAGCCTGAAGGTGGTCCTTTCTATATTATTCCACCTGGCTATTACCCTGTTTCTTTCTTTCCTCTCTGCCCCACAGTAAAAAGAAAAAACATCATACTCAGAACCCCATTAACACTGGAGCAAAAGGACATTTGGAGCATAATTTTATCTTGTTTTTTGTGCTGCTTCTAGCTCATTCTAATTGGTTTACTTCATATAAACAAAAGGAGTTCTATAGTAACTATATGAAACCAAGTCGTTCCATTCTATAACCAAAAACTAATCACATCTGAGTGACCTTATGATTTGGAACTTGGTTCAATCCAATGGGAAGTTCATAAATAACATGGAGGAATTATAAAAGCTGAAAAGAAAATGATCTATGGATCGTATAAATTTCAAATTATCTTATTTGTTTGTTTGTTTTTTTTTTTTTTTTTTTTTTTTTGGAGAAGACTTGATAAGATTGTTTTAAAGAAGAAATGTTAAAGTTCACCAAAAGATAATACAATAACTTGGTAGTCAACTTAAAGACAGGTTAAGTTAACCGTTAAGGATTAGTAATCTTTTCTATAGATTGAAGGTAAGAATTGTCACTACACAACTGCAATGCTTTGTTCTAGAAAAACAATAATTTGATTTAAGACAGTTTACAATGCAAATAAATAGTAGAAATAAAGTTGAAAACTATAAATAGTTGAAATAATTACATGTTAACATGAACTTTCAAGCACGGAGAAAAGATACTTCATAATTAATAATCAAATATATTTAGATAGATGTGATCTACAAAAAAATACACAAACCCAAAACTCTCTAAAGTAGTATAGATTATCATGACATTAAGATCATCAGTCTCATGTAGATTATTAATTTAATCCTCTTAACTGTAAATTTTTTTTCTGAGATCCACCCGAAAAGTGACATCTAGCATATAATATCTAAATTCTGATATGAAAAACAGGGTTTACAATATACAGGATATAAGCCAAAAGAGAAAATGAAACAAAAGCAGAAAAAGAGTGCGATGTGCGTATAATGAATTATTCTGTGTGTTCCTGCCAAGGAAGGAAATCCACTTCCCACTTTTTTGTTAGTGCTAATGACAACCTTTTCAAATAAGAGCATGTATGCCAATAACTACAAGAACTTCATAAAGTTTCTAATCATGATTAAAAATGAAGATAATGATGATACCTTTGGTGTTTGATGATGTGTTTATTCTGGAGAGAGAGGACAGAGATGTAGGACCCTTTTTTCCTCCAAATCTTCTAAAGAAACTGCTTTACCTGAGTGGAGCACCTACACTTCATTAGTGGTGAATTTGTGGTTTACATAAATTAAAGAAACTAATCATTATTTGATCTCCAGTTTTGGAAAAAGTTATGCATAATCCAAAGTATTTTACCATTTCTCTCTCGGACATTTATAAAAACTATGCAAGTGATAATCATACTGTACCAGTAACTTTGAATAATTTTGTTTTCCTAGGCTAATGCAACAGGAAGTTCAAAAACAAATGGGCAAATTCAAGAAGCCATTATCAAACACAGTAAAGTTTAACAGTCCAAAATTGAAAGCAATTATATGGCAGAAATACGAATGGTTTGTGTGAGAGAGACGTATCTGAGCACAACTCTTGTTCAATTTGAACATAGAAGAAGTCAGCCATACGGGTCTCATAAACTTCCAAACACTGAATTATGGTCCCTGCAATCAGACTTGAAATCTTCGAGCAAATGAAAGTGGAGAGTGGAGACCACTGATGCAGACTTAATTAACATTCTAGTTTCCAGTGGCTGAGCACAGAGTGGCAACCTTTAGGACCACCTTCCTGCAATTTGCTTCCATAAAATTGTTAAAAGAATTACAAGCAAAAGAGCTGAATATCTTGGGAACTGTAAGACAATGAACACAGCAAGAGTTCAACCGTCTTTATAATCTCTGTGGCCCCTTTCAGAAGATCCAGTATGATAAGGACTCAAGTTTTATGGAACCAAATGGAAATATTTGATACACTTGGAGCTAGATACTCTACTTTTAAATGATCCTCACGTTCTACTCAATCTTACAATATCTGAAACATTGAAAAAATTATATATGTTCTAGACAGGTAGCCATCAAAGATTGATCCCCACATCGAAATAATATCCAGATTGACCAATTGAACTCAATTTTCTAATTACATTTCAAGGTAAAGAAATGACATTAGAGTCGCACTTAACTTCCTTTCTTCGAACTTCTGTACAAGATCTTCAGCGTCAAAATTTGGAACAGACGAAAGTAACGAACCCATAATACATCCAGATTCCAAACATAACATATTTTTTCCCATGTAATGATAACCCAAACAAAGAAGTCATTTAAAATAAAAACATGACAGGAGATATCATTAAATTCCTGCAAGCACAGATTACAGTATGTTTTCCTAAATTGAAATAACTCAGCCATTGCACTGTTGTTCATGGCTCTCCGGATGGACCATTTGAGTACTCGCCCCCTGCAAGACTAGATGTTCCATTAGGTAAGCGATTTGTGCTGGTGGAATTAGGATAAGGAGAATATGCAGAAACAGAACTGCCTTGTGAATACCGGCTCTGTGTAGCTGTACTACTTCTTGTCACTTTGAGACGAGCCTTTCTACCCTATAGTATAGATTAGACAGTTGATGAGTATGGTGAAAAGAGATTTAAAAGATAGAAGCAGAATGTGTGAACAAAACATATATCAATTAAGGGGTAGAGAGTTACCCTTCCCATGCATTTCTCTAAATGCGGGGCAAATCTCCCAGCCACAATTGATCGACCACAATTCATGCAATCAAATATTTCGCTTGCAACAGAAGGATGATTTTGTCCAAAAATATCAACTACATATTTGCTGTTTGCTTCACTACTATTGCTAGAATCAGCTATTCTTACTCGCGCCTGTGCCGAAAGTCTTAATTCTTCTTCTTCCTCTTCTAAGTTACGATCAAGACCTAGCCTTGCTATTCGATGGCATTCCGATGCAACATCAACAATCACGGAATCCAGGAGATCTCCAAAGAAATTAGATGCAAGCTGCAAATATAAGCAGAAAGCAACAGAAGTACCCGTTCTGTTAGTTCTGTGTCCTGAAAAAAGGAAGTTAAAAGCAATCACTAATACCACTACGACCATACTTGTGCTTTCATGGCATGTTTGACACATCAAGCACACTCCGGCAAGCCCTTTTTTAAGAATACTACATTCAATGTTATAAAAGGTTGCTTTGAGGTAAGACTCTAACTTATAGCCTCAAGATTTGTGTCATCTATGGACCATAAGAGACTTACACCTTCGTGAAAATGCATTGAGGCTTAAAGGCCTTATGCCACATGCAATGATTGGAGGAATAATATTAATTTGTCCCATTCTTCAAAAGATATAAAAGTTTGAGTTGTGACATTATAAATTATTACTACTTTTACTACTCATGCTTCAAAAACATAGATGACAAAAACTATGGAACAAGTCAATCATATTATTGATAACAGTAATCATGTTAAAAATATCCTTTTAGAATTTTGGGTTAAGTTGCTATTTGTAGGGGTGGTTTTTTTTTTATACTTTTATATAATTTCTACTTCATCATACAAACTTAGGATTTGTATAATGTTTTCAAATAAAGTTGAGGTCTACTCCTTTTGTGGCCTTGAGGCTTACATCTTGCCTCTTCAAGAAAAAAAGCCTTAAGGTCACACCTTTATCCTTTTAAAAACCTTGATGACATCATAAGTAGGGTAGAGAAATTCAAACCTATGACCTCTTAAAGAAAATAGAGATGTCTAAGCATATATTAGCATTAGACCAGCCTTTTCTCACACTGAAAATAGCTAGACAGAGCTTTCAAATAATTCATTGAGTTTGACATGTTGGTTTAGGTGTGACAGACCGCTGCTAACATAATAAGATCTATCAAAAGAACCAACCAGACGCACATCACTCATTCAAGCAATCGGGGAGAAATATCATATATTGTACACATACGACTTCACATTTTTTACAATTCTATTTCTGGAAAATGCCAATGACAATTAAGAAAATTTACTGCAAAGAGTAACGTATTAGAAATCCTTTTTTTTTTTTCCTTTAAAGAAATTCTAATCCATTTACAGACACATGCACTTTGGTGCAGTCACACAAACAACAAAAATGGAGTTGGGGTGCTTTTCCTCATATCTAGAAACCAATTTGGTCGACTATCATCAAACTGAGGTGGGGGAAATCTGTGAAATAGAGCTTACCAGTTGGGTAGGTTCTTTTTGGTTAGTTAGGAACTGATTGGGCTAATTAGGTTAAGATTAATTAATTGCTTGTCAGTTATTCTAGTTAGACTGTAAGGATTGTAAACCGTTTATAACAGTGATATTAGACCATTGTACTCTTGTCTTTGCATATTTCATATCAGCAATTAAATCAGGATTTGGTTCTATACCATAAACATAAACAAAGACATTATAACTGTTGCCTTCATTTCTCATTATTCATATACTAACGTGCTAAATAAAAATAAGAAAAAGAAGAACAAATATATAGGAAAAGGCTACCTGAGATGATGCATTGTCCTCATCAGGCATTGACATGGATCTAGAAGAAGGAAGAGTTTCAATACAGACCTGGAAACATAATAACCAGGAAAAATGTTACAGCACAATGACTGAACCAATTTATAGAATCATCATTCCATTCAATAACCGAAATTGAATAAAAGACGAAACCGAAGTACGCAAGAACCGGTGGAAGGATTAACAAATTCTTAAAATTACTAAACAAGTAAAGCAATATATATATTAACATTCTAAAATCATGCAAACTGGCATCAAACGCAAGCATTTCTGGAAAATTGATTAGGCAAGAAAGTTCGTGAAATCAGGCAAATCAATGGAAACGGAGACAAATGCAGAAAGCAATCGCTGAACTTACTGATATATCCAAGCTAACTGGGAGCCGACATGACTGCATAAAGCGGAAGAACTAAGAAGTAAAAAGAAGATTCATCGAGAAGAAGAGGGGAGGGAATAAATATGTTAAAAGAATAATTAAAATTAAAAGATATATATTGAAAAAATTCCGTTGCCGGGAATCGAACCCGGGTCTCCTGGGTGAAAGCCAGATATCCTAACCGCTGGACGACAACGGAATTTGTTAATACTTGTTTAATATTTAATTTATTAAATTTAATTTTAAAATAAACTAAATTAATAAAAATACTCTTCAAACTTTCAAAACTATTTCAAAAATATCCATAAATTTTTAAATATTTCATTAATAATTTTTTAACTTTAAACAAAAAATAATAAAAATAATAAATACATTTTTTAACCTTTAGAAAATATAAAAAAAGATAAGTTATATTGGGTAATGATATGTTATGCTATGTATTGATATACTACGTTATGTCATGCTATGTCATGTTACACCATGATGAGCTATGTTATGCTATGATAAATCATGATATGATCATGCCTTGATGTATAATAGTAACATGAAATTTGGACACTATGATGCATAAATTTTATTAGAAAATGTCATGGAAGCTAAATTATGTAATAGGAATGGCAGAGGAATTATGTAAGCATAATTCACATACTTACTATGTTAGAGACGTCGGAGATTTGTTTTGCATCACATATAATGTCATGACTATAATTTATGGAGATCTCATGCGATTTTATGTGACACGTGCATTGGGATAATTTTCCACTATAATTTGTATGGACAATTGCAATATGATATATGATTTATGACATTATATTTATCATGATGTATTGACGGCCCTTCCCCCTCCATGGTGTTCGGCAAAGAGCGTGTTAGTGAGTGTTGGACCAGCAAGCCAGGGTGAGGGGGTGTGAAAGTCCACCTAATGAGTCCATACTCACACGTGTGAGGTCATGTGGAGAGGAGTACTACACACCCAACCTCGCCTAGATGGAAAGTTGTTTAAGGTCATGTTATACTATGATAAAAGAATAGGTCCCATGTAAAATGTGTTTGCATTATTTACTCCCAAGACTGGAGTCACTTACTAAGTGTTTCTTAAAATACTCAAGTCATACTTTTACATTTCAGGTAAAGGCAAGGCACATTGTATAGATGACAACGACGTCACATTAGAGACCGTGAAACCAGTATTAGGGTAGCTGCATTTTTATTTTGAGCGTTTCTTAAAATACTCAAGTCATACTTTTACATTTCAGGTAAAGGCAAGGCATATTGTACGGATGACGACGACGTCACATTAGAGACCGTGAAACCAATATTAGGGTAACTGCATTCTTATTTTGCTTATTAGTCTTAGATTAGTAAAAGTCATTTCTTTATTTCCTAATTTTTGTAATTTATTTATTATTATTTTTGTTTCTCAAAGGTGGTTGGTTTGATTTTAAAGATTTTATTTTTAACGTATAAGTCCATGACATCGTTTATGAACTATTTAAAACGAAGGTTTCTATCACGTCATACTTATGATAACAACTTTATACTAGAAAAATAAAATCGTTACACTAAAACCATATCTCCATAAAAATATAAAAATAGATTCGTTACAATAGATTATCTCCCGAGGAAAATCTACTAATAAGACTACCCAACAAACAAGCAGGATTTGTAAGAAATCCCCAAATTTGCCTATTCTTCTAGGAATAGCAACTTTGTTTGTTGGCCCCAAATGCTAAAAAACAAGGCTCCCCACCAGAAGGGAAGTGAGTGGAACAGTGAGGTTATCATCAATCTCAGTGCTAATGGGGAGAGACTCAACCAATGCTGAGGCAAGAGATACAACTAAGAATCCCAAAACCATTCTGCTGCTTCCCTCTACGTACCCAAATGAGGAGAAATAGTACATATACCTGACATTCACAATGCAACCTCTTATATCTAAACCAATCAAGAAAGATCACAAGAAAACTAACTCGTAGATCGATGGTCGAGTTCGAAAGAAATTACCCAATAGATGCAAGAAAGCCAGCAGATGCCATTGCTACACTACCAACTATAGACTTGTTTTTGTTGTATGAGATCTTTTGAGTTCCAAATCGTCTTCCAACGATATCGGCCACCCCTGAAATAGCAACGTGTGAAAATGTTACGAGGCCTCGACGTCGTTGCATCGGTTAAGCTCTAGATATGTGCTTAGATAAAAGTGAAAGTACCATCTCCAGCACACAAGTTGCATATGAGAGCAATTGAAATGGGGGACGTCCTCCAATAGAATATGCAAACTAATGTAATTGTTGCAACATAATACAATGGTCCCTTCAATAGCTCCCTGATGGATGAAAATATGCAGGTCAAATTAAAAAGTATGTACAAGGGCACACAAAAAGAAGCTTACAAAAGGAGTCCTCAACTACTCATCGAAAACTACTCGAATCCAAAAGAATAAGACCAAGCTGATAATTTCAAAAGGTTTGATTAACGGATGTCCAAACTGAAGAAATAAAGCTCACCACTTTTGTGAGTATGATCCAACATCTGTATGCACATAATAGTTCTTATTCTGTGGCATTCTCTTGGTGGAGAACATTTCGTGTACTAGTGTTGTACAGGAGTATAACTACTAACAACCACTAATTTTCAGCCATATGGAATTAGTAAATGATATTACAATTGGACCAAAAGCCTTCCAAAAGCATCGAAGTAATGGATAGTTTTGCTTCTCAAACAATTAACCAAAGAAAATAAAGTGTGAGATCCTATATCGATTGAGGAGAGAAACAAAGTATTTTTTACCAGGGTGTGGAAATCTCTCCCTAGCAGACGAGTTTTAAAAACCTTGAGGGCCTGAAAGGAAAAGTCCAAAGAGGACATATCCGTTAGCGGTGGGCTTGAGCTATTACAAATGGTAACAGAGTCAGTCAACGAGGAGTTGAGCACTGAAGGGGGTGGTCACCAAGCAGTGTGCTAGCGAAGGCGCTGAGCCCCAAAGGAAAGTGAATTGTGAGATACCAAATCGGTTGGAGAGGGGAACGAAACATTGTTTATAAGGGTATGGAAACCTCTCTCTAGCAGACACGTTTTGAAAACCTTGAAGGGAAGTCCAAAAGGGAAAGTCCAAAGAGGACAATATCTGTTAATAGTGAGTTTGGATTTGGGCGGTTACATAAGCTATATACTTCATTTTAACAGGCAAAGAACTCACAATGCCAAGGAAGACAGCATTCATTTGGTTAACTGTATGTATAGCCAGAGATTGATCTTGATAGGAAGCTCAAATCAACTAACACACTGGCACCCCAAAAACTTATCTAACATGATTATGTTCTTACATAGTTGTACCTGTAGTCTCCATATCTGGTCATTGACTTTACTGTGGCCTCATCTTTCACTATTCCCAATCCAAAGAC